GTAAGAAGGACACAGGGAGGAGGGGAGAGAAGGGGAGATGAGGAGAACACAGGGAGGGTGGGGGAGTGAGAAGAACACAGGGAGGGTGGAGGGAGTGAGTAGAACACATGGGGGGAGGTGAGGAGAACACATGGGGGGGAGTGAGAAGAACACAGGGAGGGAGGGGGCTGAAAAGAATACCGTAGGATTGGGGGAGGGGGGATGAGAAGAGCACAGGGAGGGTGGGTGTGAGAAGTGACTGCTAGGGAATGGGGGGGGGGAGAGACCACTAAGGGGCAGGGGAGAGCTCTATAGGACAGGGGGCAGGACAGGGAGCTCTTTCACACTACGCGCACACACACAATGCATCCCTATACATACACAAACACACAATGCATCCCTATACATACACAAACACACAATGCATCCCTACACACACAGAGAAACACACAGTGCACCCATTACACACAAAGACAATGCATCATTTGCACACATACACAGAAACACACAATGCAAACCCTTACACACATATGCAAACACACACACTGCTTCTCTTACATATACACAGAAACACAATGCATTTCATACACACACTCAATGCACACTACAGACACACACCTTGCTTCCCTTATGCATACAAACACAGATTCACACAATACATCACTTATACACAAACACACACTGCCTCCACTACAAATACACTGCATCACCTACACAAACTGGTATCCCTATACACTACATACCATAAGCACACACATTAGATCCTCTACAATAACACATAACACATCTCCTACACACTCCACTCCCTGTGAGCGAACTCATGGTTGGAACATGTAGGTGGACTTTTAGGTGGGCCTTATGGGCATACTCACCGTCAGGCTCTGGGACCCAGACCTTGAGCTGTTTAAGGGGCCCCAAAAAAATGGAGCTGCTTCCCATTCTACTAGAACTTTGAATTTTGTGAACACAGTTACAAACAGCCTTCAGAGATCCTCTTCTACACCAGACCAGTGGAGCCAAACCGCAACCCATCATCATCCTCATCTGGTTGTAAGTAGGCAATCTAGTATATTATTAGTGACCCTAATCTATAATTTACCTCACATTAAAGGGACACTATAGCTTAATGAAGTGGTTCTGGTGTCTATAGCCGGTCCCTGCAGGCTTTTTAATGTAAACACACACTGTGTGCAGCTTTGGCATTAGTTCATATGGCAGATTATATAGGTGGGGCATTGTGATGTCACATGGGGGGGCAGCTAATTTTTCCTTTGCCTAGGGCAGCAAAAATCCTTGCACCGCTCTGATCCTGGGCAGGTGCACCAGTCTACTGGTGACCCACAGGAGGGGAGTGCACTGATTGCACTGCACTCTCCTCCTGCCCAGACCTGTCTTTACCGCAGTGCAAGTGCCCTCTGCCCCTAATTTACAGTGGCTCACACTCACAGCAAGCAGTGCCTGGAGCCCTTTGCAGCGATGGGAACTAAGAGGTTCTGCGGCAGGTGGCCGTCCTGCAAGCATTACATTAAACAGCTGTTCCCCATGCAGCCACAGGTGGCGCTGTGCTGGGAGAATGTGATTACTCTTCACTTCCTCCCAGCCTACAGCGCAGTGCATGGGAGAGGGAGAGGAGGAGGCATGATTTAATCTTACAACAAATCCATTAAGCAAATCTTTGGGGGGATCAGCTCTGTTTGCACAGTTTATTGGTGTTTACACTGATGTCTGTATTAATATTGATGGGTTTTCTAAGTAGTAACATCAGTATGTGTCAGCAGGGCCAGCCGTTGGGGTGTGCAAGCTGTGCGGTCACGCAGGGTGCCATGACAACAGAGGCGCCTGGCGGCCAACACAGCTCACAAGTTGGGGACCCCAGCATATTCAATTTAAATGATTCCCTGGTGGTCCACTGGTGCACACCAGCAGTAAGTGCAGTCAGATTATATCCTCTCCCTCATGGTTCTGGCGCTCAGTTAGTGAGTCAGAGCACAGGCTCAGAGATTCTCAGCCTGCGTTCTGACAACATTGAAAGTCAAAGCCGTGAAGGAGCGGGTATGGCAAAGAGCTACTGATTAGCATAACATCAATATCCGTTATAAAACCAGGTGGGCATGGATGGTGAACTGATTTGGTGGTGCAATGGGCCACTTGACTGGTGTTGCCCCCCAGGCCTAAGGCTGCCCCCCAGGCCTAAGGCAGTCTCTAACAGCATACAGTAAATCCTCCCCCAATAATGAGACGACACTTCACTTTGATGGTTAAGCAGGAACTCTCTGTAATGGCCATACACTGGCTTTTATGCAAGTCCCCATGCAAGTGGACATCCCACAGAGTGGGACACAGTACAACCAATCGTTACAGGGGAACCGTAAAACACACCCACAATTACATCACAATCCCTCCTCTCTGTCCTGGAGATAATTGTGAAGTAATCAAATTATCTCCAAGGACAGAGGCAA